AATTTCCTGGTGGCAGCTGGATACACATGATAAAATAAAACCTAAAGAACACTTTAAAGGGAAACCAGACCTCCCCAGTTAAGAGGTCGTCACACAGCCGCTCTACGGGGTATCAGGCGGGAAGTCTTTCACACCGGCTATTACCTGATCATTTAACTGGAAGTGCCGGGGACTGGACCAGGGACTTTGTACCTATAAAACACAACCTCCACCGCTGAGCCACAGCCCTTCAATCTGAAGGTAGCGCCTTCATGAGACTACCAACAAGGCATGCCCAGGGAGAAATAACATCACACGCACAACCCTTGCAGGCTATGCTAATAAACCTGAAGGGTGGTGGAGGAGGAATTAAGCTGTGATTTCACGGCCACTGCTACAAACACAGATAAGGATCCTCACTTCCATTTTAAGCACCAGATACTATACCTTTCATATGTGGGGCGGGAAATTTCCCACAGAAAAATATAGCACTGGAAAAAATGTTCCCACCCACATCAGAGCTACCGGGAGAAGGGAAATCCCACACTATCCCAAAAGCTCCTCTTTCCGGATTCTCGAAGCTCTCAGGGGAAGGAGCGAGCCAGTTTCCCCTCTTTGTGCGTTTTCTTCCTTAACCAATTCCTCAGCTGTCCTCAGTATTCTCTCCCTTCTGAAGCAGGCTCAGTCCTCATCAGTATTTACCTCGTACAAACATCATCATTGCCCACATTTGTCATAACTTCCCCTCCTTCAAGTCACCTTTGGGAGACCTACTCTACCTTAGCAGCACTGCGACTAACAGACTGAGCCTCAAAACACAAAGTTGCCAGTTCAAATTTCACCACAAATTTACCAGGTATCATGCAGACCAGCCCAATCTACGTTTACTCTCGAGTTCTACCTAGCTCTGTGGGGCTTCCTCCCAACCAAAACCACATAAGGCTTCAGTCTCTAAGCTAGCCGGTCCCTCTCAGCCTCACACGGCCTGCCCCATCCACAATGGGGCAATAACACCAACTTAGCTTATGGGGAAATTGTAACAATCACTTAAAAGAAGGGTTGGTTTTTTATACCCCGCTTTTCTCCGCTGTAAGGAGCCTCAAAGCAGCTTACAATCACCTTTCCCTAAACCACTAGACCATTCAGGTTTGACCTAGATTAGGTCAAGAATAGGTTTAAGGGACTAGATTTGATAGATAGAGTGCCTGAAGAACTATGGACAGAGGTTCGTGACATTGTACAGGAGGCCGCAATCAGCACCATCCAAAGAAAAAGAAATGCAAGGAAGCAAAGTGGCTTTCTGATGAGGCTTTACAAATAGCAGAGGAAAGAAGGAAAGTGAAAGGCAAAGGTGAAAAGGAAAGATTTACCCAACTGAATGCAGATTTCCAGAGAACAACAAGGAGAGATAAGGAGGCTTTCCTGAATGAACAATGCAAAGTAATATAGGAAAACAATACAATGGGAAGGACTAGAATATCTTCAAGAAAATTGGAGAAATCAAGAGAACGTTCCATGCAAAGCTGGCCATGATAAAGGACAAAAATGGTAGGGACCTAACAGAAGCAGAAGAGATTAAGACAAGATGGCAAGAATACACAGAATAACTCTACAAGAAGGACCTCAATGTCCTTGACAACCATGACAGTGTAATCACTGACCTCGAGCCAGACATCCTGGAATGCGAAGTCAAATGGGCCTTAGAAAGCCTTAATAACAACAAAGCTAGTGGAGGTTATGGTATCCCAGCTGAGCTATTCAAAGACTTATAAGATGATGCTGTTAAAGTGCTGCACTCAATTTGCCAGCAAATTTGGAAAACACAACAGTGGCCACAGGATTGGAAAAGGTCGGTTTACATTCCAATCCCAAAGAAAGGCAATGCCAAGAAATGTTCAAACTATCACGCAATTGCACTCATTTCACACACTAGCAAGGTCATGCTCAAGATCCTACAAGCTAGGCTTCAGCAGTACGTGGATAAAGAACTGCCAGAAGTACAAGCTGGGTTTTGAAGAGGTAGAGGAACTAGAGATCAAATTGCCAACATTCGCTGGATTATGGCGAAAGCAAGAGAGTACCAGAAAAACATCTACTTCTGCTTCATTGACTATGCTAAAGCCTTTGATTGTGTGTATCACAACAAACTATGGCAAGTCCTTAAAGAGATGGGAGTACCAGACCACCTCGCATGTCTCCTGAGAAACCTGTATAAGGGTCAAGAAGAGACAGTTAGAACTGGATATGGAACAACTGATTGGTTTAGCATCGGAAAAGTACAACAAGGATGTATATTGTCACCTTGCTTATTTAATTTATATGCAGAGTACATCATGCGATGGTAAACCCAGACAGCATATTAAAAAGTAGAGGCATCACTCTGCCAACAAAAGTCCGTATGGTCAAAGCAATGGTATTCCCAGTAGTAATGTATGGCTGTGAGAGTTGGACTATAAGGAAGGCCGAGCGCTGAAGAATAGATTCTTTTGAATTATGGTGCTGGAGAAGACTCTTGAGAGTCAAGGAGATTAAATCAGTCACTCCTAAAAGAAATCAACCCTGACTGTTCCCTGAAAGGCGAGATACTGAAGATGAAGCTCAAATACTTTGGCCACCAAATGAGAAGGGAGCACTCACTGGAGAAGACCATGATGCTGGGAAAGACTGAAGGTCAAAGAAGAAGGGGACGACAAAGGATGAGATGGTTAGTGTTATCGATGCAACAAACATGAAATTAAGCAAACCTGAGCACGAAGGAAGACAGGAGGGCCTGGTATGATGTGGTCCATGGGGTCACGAAGAGTCGGACTTGACTGTGCGACTGAACAACAACAAGTGGAGATCAAATGCACTTCCTAAACATGTTATGTATGTTATACTTGTGGCAGTGAAGCTTTTAACACTGGCTGGTACAATGTCACAAGAATTCCAGTTGTTCAAGAAACAAAACTATCAAAATGTCTGTTTGTGAGGGAAAGGGAAGTTGTCAGTTTTGCTGTAATTAAATCTCAGGCCCTAGAAACAGGCAAAGCACTGAGAGACTGGGAAGGAATCCCAGAGTGCAGGGATACTAAAGTGTAGGGAGTGTCAAGAAAGTTGCAGAAACAAGCAATGAACTGATAATCCAAGTCTAGGGGGGAAAGAAGCTGGAGGTGGTTGTTGTGCGGAACAGAACAAATAAACAAGTGAGGAAAGATAAAAAAGTTAATGAGAGATGGAACTGAGATGAGAAAAAAACAAAATCGCTTAGCAAAAACAAGAGAGATTGTGATGATATGAGGGAGCCGAGGGGGGTGTCTGTTTCAGAATTTCACACAGTACTTGGGGACAGAAGATACTGTGTACTATGGGCGGGAAGGTGACTGCTTGAGTAGACAAGTGAAGTAGATCGGACTGTAGGGCAGGAAGGGCTCCTTGGTCTAGAGTGAAGGCCCTGATAGGGTGCTGTACCTCTGAGAGTTGCACCAAAGAAAAATTCGGCCCATTGTGACTTCATCTCTTGCAGCAATATGAGGAGGGGGAAAGAAGAAAAAGAAAAAGGATTGGGTATGCTACATTTTCCAACTGGAACTCTCACCTATTCTTCTAATCTCATTTTACCTTACACAAATGTTTGTGACCCAAACTTCAGTCATACAGTAGAAAGAACCAAAAGGCCATCTCTGACCAGGATCATCCACTTACTTGCCACCCACAGATCAATCTACACACAGCAACTGCTGTGAGAACATACTGAATCAGAGGAATCCATTTAGCTCAGATTAATGTATACTAAATGAAGACATGTTATAAATGTTCAAAAAGGATGGCAAAAAGAACTGTGCAGAATTTACTACAACGTGAGGTAAAACTACCCAGCCTGGCTATAATTGACTTTACACCTCATTATCACCTTAAAATGTACCTCCAAAGTTGTTAATACAATGACTACCAAGTAATTCCTTTGCTCTCACCCTACCAGGGATCAGTTAATTTCACCTGGTGTCAGAAAGGTGCAAGGAAAACTATTGGCCTTTGTAATTTCAATGGAGAGACATCATTTGTTTTTTCATGATCATAGAAATCAGGGTGCAACCTGACATGAAAGGCACTAATGTGTATCTATTTGCCTGCTGGCACAGAGACAAGGATGTTGCAAAGAAAATGGCCTTAAACTCATGGACTGAAACATCTGTTTTTCTCCCCCCCCCCCTTATTTTGTAATATCCATCCTGAAGAAGACTTCTGTTTTGTGTCATTTTGGTTTGTTATGGCTTGGATTTGGGGGATGACCACTAGATGTCGCACATCTCCTTCCACAAGGAATCAGAACAAAAGGCATTATGAACTCTAAATAGCTGGAAGAAATTCCTAGAGAGCAAACTGCAGCCAAGATTTCTGCTTGGCAGAGAACAAGAGTGGAGACACCAGGCCACTCAGTCTCTGGGAATTTGGGAGATAGCTTTGGACAAAGCCATGTAGGGATATACAGAACAGTGTGCCAAATCTTTCGCTCAAAATAAAGGGGTTTTTTTTAAGTGCCTCAAGTTTTTTTTAAAGGGTACACAGCGTCTTGCTCCAATTTATGACCTCTTTCATATTCGTACACAGCTGGCAAGCTTCAGGGTTTTTTTTTCTTTTTCCTGTCCTATGCCTGTTTTCTTCCTAAGAGGAAGAACCATGAGAAATCTTGGCTTCTACTTGAAAATGCAAAGTTACTGAGGTAAATCTCAAAGAGGTACAACATCCCAAGAGCTAGGGGAAAATCCCACAGTTCATTTACAGTGCAACCCTAAGCAGAGTTATTCCTTCTAGGTACATTGACTTCAACAGAAGGAGGTAACTCTGTTTAGGATTGCACTGTCAGTGACCCTCCGTCTTCCAACTGGTGCAGATTCTGCCATGACCTACTACAGATTGACTTCTGTTTGATAATGATGGATGTCACATTTCAAAGACTCAGAAACCAGAAAGCAGAGAAACAAAGCCATAATATAATTTATAGGAGAAATTTCATTTGGAAAGTTTGCATAATTGGGGGGAGGGGCTTATTCTTGTAGCCAACTGGATAAAATATACTTTTGATGTCCATTTAAACCATTTTGCTCTGACTCAAGTGGCAGCCTCAGCGAAGGTCAACATTTTCATACTCCATCTGGTCTGAGTCCTCAAATTCAATCCCTGGAACCAGGTTGTAATAATCCACCGAATGGTTCATGTACAACTTCTCCCGGTCTGCAGAATCCTTCAGGACGTCTGTCACGCTCACTGTCTCAGCTTCAGGCTCACCCGCCAGGCAGCCCTCCTCTGCAATCGTCAGTTTTTTGGATCTTAGTATCTCTTGGTCGAGGCTTCCCTCATTGGTCTGCACCAAGGAATCGTCAGAAGCCCCCCGTTTGATTTCCACCTCTTCATAGAGGTCCCTGCTGCTCCCTAACAGTGTGGTTGATGGTTTCAGGAGGACTTGGTTCCTCAAGAAGATGTTCTTCTCACTCTCAGCAGCAGCTCCAGTAGGTAGCTCACATGGGATGTAGCAATCATGTTCCCCCGACTCTTTGGCACCATTGCTCTCCACTGTGGCCAGCCGGCATTCTTTCCCACTACGGAGATCATAGGCGGTCTCCTTCTTCTGTTTGCAAAAGCACCAGGTGATCAAGGCCAGGATAGCCACCAAAGGCAGACAGATAAAGAGAGCTGTTAGTTTATAAGTTTGGCACAGCGCCTGTTTAGGAATGGTTTTGATGTTCAGGCCACTGTAGTGCTTGGGGGTGCTACACACCACCTCACTATAAAATGGTGCAGACAGATACCTTTCCAGATCTCCAAGCAAAGTACAAGTGCAGTCCCAGCTGTTATTGGAAAGGCCTAGTGTGAGGAGAGAGGGCTTGATAATCTCAGAGGGAAGAGAAGATAAGTTATTGAAGTCAAGGTGGATCTCCTGAATTTGATTAGAAGCTTTGAGGAATGATTCAGGCAGCTCCTGGAGTAGGTTGCTCTTTAACTCAATGACACGCAACCTGGGTGCATTTCTCAGGAAACTGCCTGGGAGCCACCTTAGCCTGTTATGGTCCAAGTAGAGAATCTCCAGTGTGGAAGAATCATCACTTGCATTGAAAATATCAGATATGCTACAGTGTGATAGGTAGAGCTCCCTTAAGCCTGTAAAACCATTGAAGAGGCTCCAATTTAAGGAGCCAATCTTAGTTCCAGTGAAATTCAAACAACATATCTCAGGAGCCAATGCAGCCTGAAATTCCTGGAAATCAGTAGTTGTCCTACAGTTGCAGATGTCTTCCATAGTGCCTAATGCGAGCTCTATGCCTAGCAAGATCCCACCAAAGAGTATGACTGTCCATCTCTTGTGATCTAAAGCAAGGAGAATAAAAGCATCAGTGATCTGTAGCACAGTTTATATAAAACTTACAAGTAGGTAAACAACAGTGAATATTTATGGCCTCTGTTCACAATTTCCTTGGAATCTGAATTACTTAGCACCCCTATTGGCAATGTGTGTCCAACCAGTGGCTTGAATCCAATGGACTGTTTCAGCAGGCTGAAGGATTTCCACCAGCAGAGCATCTGCCTTGCATGCAGGAAGTTCCTGGGTTCAGTCCCCAGTTTAAAAAGGTAGTGGATGATAGGAAGTCCCCTGCCTGAAACCCTGTAGAGCTGCTGCCAGTCAGATCAGTCAATAATGACCATTACAGATCAAAGGTCTGACTCAGTATAAGGCAGCTGGATGTTCATGAGTGCCTATTTCTAAAGCACTGCATAAGTGATATTACTACCATTACATCTACTTATGTAGGACTCATACTAAGCTTCTTGTGGCAGCTGGGAAGAATTTGGGAAACTTAATTGGCTCAAAAAATCTTCCTCTGGTAGGACAGAATTAGCTGCTGCCCACTGCCACTTGTGCTGGAAGGAGCCTTCTGTGTGTTGGTTACCTGGACACCCTCATATGCTGATAGGGTTTCTGGAGTAACCAAACCTAGTGCAAGCAAACAAGCCAAGGAAATTATGCTCCTCTGCAAACAGTGACCAGCCCCACCTTTTCTGTGAGCACAGCTGAGGGAAGGAATCCTGCTCTCCTTCAGGCAGCCATTCTCATCTCTCTCTGAAATGAGTAACGTTTGGGAGGGGGGATTTTGGGCTGCAGTAGGAAGGGAGAGGTGACAAAGTAATACAGTTGTCTTCTGCCTAACTGAGGGCCTCTAAGCATTGTCATAGCACCATGGGATGAACCCACGGGAAAGCGGTTTCCATGACACTACGGTAACATATAAAAGGCATCCAGCATACTATTAAGCACAGATTAAAAGGATAGTTCGAGACACGGAAAAGGCAGCCCATCGTTCCTGTTCTGATTTTACTCAGTGGTCTGAGGCCAGGTTTGGCTCTACTGAACAAGGGCTATGCAAACGGTCCACAGTTCAGGGAAAATTGCCATTTTGAGTATGATGAAGATTCTGCTCAGTTTTTAAAGCATTATAGTCCAATTCTATGCATGCTGACTCAGAAGTGGGTCCCATTGACTTCAATGGGTCTTACTCCCAAGTAAATGCGCATAGTATGGCAGCATTAAATAACTTTAACAAATATTTTCTAAGGGGGAGAGTGGAGCTGACAGTGGAGATAACCTCTCTGTTTGTTATGTAGCAACCTGTTGATGATGTGCCGGGGGAGAATCACAGTATTGATTCAAATAATACTTCTCAAGCTTTTGATACCTGACAGAGAGCTGACGTGGTATGGTTAGAGTGTCAGAAAGAGCTGGAGAGAAAGTCGTGGGATTTAAGCGCCCTCATGACTTAGTGGACAAAGGAGTGATACGTGACAAGCAATACTTTGACCAGAATTTGGGGAAACAGACTCCTTGGTTTCAATACTTACAGTTAAAAAACCTAATCGATCACCTTACAGAATTGGGTAAATTTCGAAGGGAATTAACGAACCTGGAAAAAATCATTAAACTTTATCCTAACTCTCCGAAAGGCATTCTGTCTAAATTATATAATTCGATCACTCTGGAAGGAGATCACCCTAAACTCAAGTATCAGTATCGCTGGGAAGAAGATCTGTCGGTACGATGGGACGATGCAGATTGGGGTACCGTATGGTCCTCTCCAGCCAATCAATCTAACATTTTCAATATCCGTTTACAATTTTTCAAGCTTTTCTCCAGGTGGTACATAACCCCTCACCAATTACACAAAATAAGCATTAATAATGACCCACGATGTTGGAAGGGCTGTGGACAGGTCGGAACTTACTTACATCGTTGGTGGGAATGTCCGGAAATCAGCAAATTCTGGGAGGAGATTCAAAAACAGATCACGGATATAACTTCGCTAAACCTTAATTTCGATCCTGAAAACTTTTTACTAAACCATTGGGATGTTGACATAAACGCTAGAAACAAGGAAATAATCTCGTTACTCCCTTCACAACAGCACGCCTGACGATAGCATCATGTTGGAAATCGCCATTGCCACCAACGGTATCTGCTTGGCATGAAAAAGTTTGGGAACAATTTATGATGGCGAAAATCTCAGATAGGGTACATAGAGCACAAACACCACAGTCTTCCTATTCCAAATTTGAATCAACCTGGTTTCCAATATTTTCATATCTCACCACCCATGATATACGTCCTGCAAACCCGCATTATAATAAATGGTTACTGATGTAAATCACTAATTTATAAACCGGGCGGGACTAGACAAAATTTGTAATCCTTATTCCTCTATCCCTGCAACCTATTGGTATTGGGTATTATAGAAGATTTCTCTGTAAAAAAGTAAATTTAAATTTGTTTGAGTTTTCATACGTTATTGTAAGGCTCTTCTAAGTTTATGTATCTACTTTGCTGACAGCTGTATGGTATAAATCGCTCTGGAAAAAATAAATAAATAAAAACCTAAAAAAGAAAGAAAGAAAGAGCTGGAGAGTCCCAGGTACAAATCCCCGCTCCTCCATGAAGTTCAGTAAGTAACCTCAGGCCAGTCATTCCTTATCAGTCTACCCTACCTCACAGGGTTGTTGCAAGGAAAAAATGGAGTGAGGGGAGAACCTCATGTGCCATCACGAATCCTTTTGAGGAAGCATGTTTAAAAATGGCTTTCCCTGTGACTCTTCATCTGGGGTGCAAAGCGAGGGCCCAGGCACTATATTGCAACAAATGAAAGAAGCTCACCCTACAACCACCACTACTGGACACAGAGAGAAAGCTACACCAGCTACCTATCAGGAAACCAGAAGGTGTATCGACATAAAGCTATACCTGATGGACATCTCTAACTTCAGCAAACCATGGCTGTGCCCCTGGACTGTAATATGGCTTTTTGCAGACACTACAATATAAATTATAAGGTACTGGGGAGGTTTTATTATTAACAGTTGGGAGAAATCATTGCCTGGGAAAAGATGTTTGTGGAATGCACTACCTCAGTACAAATGGGAGCTGGTAGGTATGGGGGTGGGATTTATTTTATTATTTTATTTATTTATTAAATTATAAGTATTAGGCCACCCTTCCCTGCAAGCAGGGCTCAAGGTGACTTACATCAATAAAAATAAAATAATACTAAACTTAAAACAGTGTTAAAATTTGGCAACCACAATAAAATAGTACAATCCAAGATGGAGATAAATTTCTAATACCCGCTTGCCCCCTGAGCTAAATAAAATGCAGAACAGAGGGAGGGGGGTGGGGGGTGAGAGTGCCAGGCCGTTGCTGTCCATAATCAAATGCTTGGCGGAACATCTCTGCCTTGCGAGCCCATAGATGGCCCGTGTTTACACAGTGCTCTTTGGTTTCATTTACCCTCCAAGAGTTGGCAGAAGTGCTGTCAGATCTGGAGCTGGAGATTCCTAGACTGATCGTTCTGGGAGACTTCAACATTCATATTGATGATACCTCATCTGGACCGACTCAGGATTTTATAGCTTCTTTGACTGCCTTGGGTCTCTGCCAAATCGTGACTGGTCCAACACATGAAAGAGGTCACACCCTGGACTTAATATTTTGCACTGAGCCTTTAGAGAAGGTTTGGTTTCAGGGTTGGAGATTCGCCCTGAACCATGGTCCAACCACTACCTACTTAAAGCCAAGGTGAATGTGACCCTGATACCCCACATGAGAAGTGTCTTAGTTAAAATGGTCCATCTATGGAGGCTCATGAATCCTACTGGATTCCAGAAGGTCTTGGGGAATTTTAGGATTCCAAACACATGTTCCATTGAACAGGGGCATAGACTTTCCAATTTCCCAGGAGGGGGGGCTGGGCCAGAGGCATTGCTATACTAGATCCTTACAACAACTGGGACCCAGTGACATCATGGGGAGAAGCCAGTTGAAATCACAGGCCATTGTCCCTATCTATGGAGGCAGAGCCATGTGGGATTTAGGAAGGGGCTCCCAAGAAATTTAGGGGGGCATAGGACCCCCCTACCAATGCCCCTTGTCTGGGCTAAGTCCAGGAAAAGTGGGAATCGGCCAATGGTTATAGTGGTATCTCAGCAATCTCCTGCTGTGTCCTGTTTATGAAATTCACTTTTAGAATAGTCACTTTAAGATCTGCAAATATATATACCATTTGCACAGGACAAACTAATGGTCACAAATTTGACAATAAGAGAGACAACACAGAAAAGCCTGTAGGGGAACATTTTAAAAGTTTCCCTGGACATTCATTTACAGGAGTCTTGTTTCTGCCTTATTCATCAATAGGGGTGTGCACACAAAAAAAACCCTGGTATTTTTCAGGTTCGGATATCCCAAACCTGAAAAATATCAGCATTTGCTGATATTCCCGAATCCCAGTATTGGTATGATACTGGGGTTCGGGAAATTATCAGTATAGCTGATTAATTCCTTGAGGAAGTCGACAAATTGTTCTCAACGGTATGTCCAACCACGTGCAGCCTTGATCCGTGCCCTTCATGGCTTATAAAAGCTGGCTGTGAGGGGTTGCGAGGTGCCCTCTGGGATATTATCAACAAGTCCTTTGCTGAGGAACTGTTCCCAGAGGCACTCAAGGAAGCGATGGTCTGCCCTCTCTTGAAAAAACCATCCTTGGACCCAGCCTAATTGGCCAACTATAGGGCAAATTACTTGAGAGAGTGGTGGCAATTCAGTTGCAGCGCTTTATGGATGACACTTCCATGCCAGACCCGTTTCAGTATGGCTTCTGGCCAGGTCATGGGATGGAGACAGCACTGGTCGCCCTCACAAATGACCTCCGGAGGCATCTGGATCGAGGCAGTACGGCGGTGCTGTTGTTGTTAGACCTGTCGGTGGCATTCAACACCGTCAACCATCAGCTACTGATCCACCGCCTCGCTAACACTGGGATTCAGGGGCT